ATCTAAATATAGAGTTTGAACTAAAAATGTTGTATTATTTGAAAGATGGAACAGTAATAACATGAACTAAGAGAATAGGGAATTCGAGGACAGGAACAAATCCTCAAAACGGGTACCGATTCCACTCTTTAGCAATCACTTCTCTCAGCAACACCTAGATCTTCACATAAAGTACAGAGTATAGTATGAGTACAACCGATTACATGTACTCAATAAGTAACAAGTCTTACCTTGGGCTGAAAGCAGTGACGAGCTTTGCAAGTTCCAATGTTCATTTCCAACAACCAATAGCAACAATAGTGGTATAATAGTGGGAAAAGGAAAAAGTAGCTCAAGTAATATCAAATTCAACTTTTTCTCAATAAGAGGAGAAATAAGCTTGCTTTTCAAGAATAGCAATTAATGAATAAATTCTTCCACATAAATCACCTAAACATAGTTTTATCAATTTAACAGTGATTCAAAGTTCTACATATCAAACAAGGCACATAAGAACCTAAGGTCTACCCGGATCATGAATAACCCCGTTGTACACATGAATGCTCGTCAACTAGCACGTGTGTGACCCCCAACATGTATTAAATACCATAACCAACGGGAAATTTCCTCAAACCACATTTAGACAAGTTACTTACCGATCGCTGCCAACTCAACACTACACAAAGGTAGGAAGAGCGGGTCGCAACAGCTTTTACCCGAATAGTGGTACGGGATCGAATTTCCACAGGGAGCTAGTAGTGGAGTTGTAATATCTGTTTAGTCTAGAATTGCGGTTGTGCTTCCAATATCACTCCAAACATCTTTGGTTTTGATTTATATATCTACTATTATAAAACTAATATTTAGAGCTAAATTGTGCTACGGGAATATTGCTAAGTTGTAATTAATATAGAGAAAGGCACTAGGGTCGTGGCATTGCCTAGGTGGCTAATCAACGGGTAGATGCTACTAATGATAGATTGACATATTTGAGGCTTATGCTAAAACCGTTGCACAATTGTACCCACTCTCACACCTCTCGGTAGAGAGAGTGATTTTGCCCAATTGACTCTCTCGAGACCAATCGGGTAGGCCAATTAGACCAAGCAACTAGGGTTCAAGTAGGGTGATTACTCTCTCGAGATTTAACCCGTTAATTGGGACTACCATTTCTCATGGGTCCATCCCAATTCCTTGTTGGGTCAATTTTGGGGTCAGAGACTCTCTTTCTCAAGAAGAGTTAAACCCACTAGGCTAGAATCAGTGTTTGCAACCACCAATCCTTACTTAAAACCTAAAATTAACCCAAATAACAAACACCCAATATCAATCTATCCTTAGATGGCAACACCCATCAATTACCCACACTAGGGTTGAGCCACAACCCTAGCTAGTGAGTTTAGCTACTCATGCTAGATGCAAAAATTAAAGAAATAGATGAAGAGGTAAACATATTAATTGATTGCTAAAGAGAAAATACAATATTGAAGAGCAAAGGTGCCAAAAATGGCTAAACTAGTCGTTCTCACAAGCTCAGCAGCTTCAGAAAAATAAAACTTGACCTAAAAATGGAAAAAGGTCCTATTTATACCGGGCTGGAAAAACTAGACAAAAATACCCCTGCGGGGTCAGCGCGGACCGCGCAAACATGACCGCGGTCGCGCTGGCTCTTAAACTCTTGGCTTCTGCATCTCTGAAGCTGAGGACCGCGGACCGCGTAAAAGTGTAGCGCGGCCGCGCAGAAGTGGACGCGGGCTGCTTTGCTTGGAAGTGGTCAATTATTTGGCTCTCTGAATCTCTGCTCCGCGGACCGCGTAAAAGTGTAGCGCGGCCGCGGAGCCTGACCGCGGACCGCGTAGTAATGACCGCGGCCGCGTAGCACTCCCTTCAATTCTGCCATTTCTCTGAACCTCCTAGTGCGGCCGCGTTCACAGTTGCGCGGTCCGCACTAGGGCCTCTTTTCCTCAACTTCCTTGATCTTTGACACTTGAGTAGGTTTCACTCCTTTCTGAGCCGATATTTGACTTTCCTCGCTTTGTCGATCAAACCTGCAATCAAGTACAATTCGTGAGCGTTTTGGGACTATTTTGTAGCAATTTTATAACAAAAGCGTAGGCAAGTATGGACATAAAACACGTAAAAATCCTACTTATGACTTACCTCCTAGCGGGTGAATCAATATTCCAAAAACACCTTCCCACGCAAATCGACCTCTAAACGGCTTGAGTCTAATAAAAAATATTCCAGTAACATCGAACAAGGCTACAATAATTGATTCATATCTATAAAGCTCAAATCTTATTTAAATTCTAGAAAGTCAACCAAAAAAACCACCCAAGCCAACTTCCTGGAACCCGACCAAAGTCACAAATCCCAGCTACCCTTCGAATACGAGTCCAAATATACAAGTTTCATCTAAATCCAATTCCAAATTATGGTTCAAATCTCAACTTTACACTACCCAAAATCCTACAAAAACCCCAAATTTCTCTTTGAAATCACATAATCTATCTCTAATAATCCATAAGAGAACAAGATATCATGTTAACATCAAGTTGAAATCACTTACCATCTTACCTTGTGTGAATATCCTCTACAAAAATCGCCCCTCTCCAAGTCTAGGGCTAAAAATAAGAAATAATGGGTCTATGCCTCGAAATTATATCACTTATAAGTCTACCCAGTGATACCCTACGCGAATGCGTCAACTACCTTGTGTTCGTGAAGTACAAAAAATCACAGCCTCCAGTTAACCCTTCACGAACACGGCCTCCAGCCTGCTATCGCGATTCACCAACTCCACAGGCCTACGTGGACGTGGTCCCCTTCCTCCGAACGCGACGACCAAGAACCTAACCATCCCCAGACTACCTCACTGCCAAGCAAATGCGATAATCGGTTGCGAACGCGAAGGCTAGTATGCGTCACCCATCGCGAACACGACCCCTGTGTCGTGAATGCGAAGGAGAAAGTCCTGCTCAACTCAAATGCACTCTGCGATACTGATCCAACCTCCACGATCAGGAAGAAGCACCTGAAACCCGCAAAATTCTTTAATTTTAAAAGTTCTCCGGGTGGTATGAAACTCACGACATCGAAGTACTGTTCGATGTCAAATATGAAGTTCTCCATTTCCTTGAAATTCCGAGCCCTATTGTAGGGCTTTGGTTCAGGAATCTTCAGCTTTTGTGGCGCAGGGGCGAGGTTCACAGCATCGCCAATGTGGTTTTTGGCTTCTCGGAGTAGGCCTTGCAACGCAGCATTGACAACATTGAGTTGGCTCGTCAAGTTTTCTATGGTTTGCTGTATGACAGTCACCTTGACTGCATCTTGTGCCCTATAGGCTAAATCATCGGCTTGCTCCTGTTGGAGTCCCTCGAGTTTACTGAAAATTTTGGCTACCTCCGTGGCTGCCGTTTGCCGGTCTCCTTCAGAGTCGCGACTGATGTTTGCCTTTGAACTAGGCTGGTTCTTAGATCACCACCTTACTCGCGATGGGTTGTAATACGTTAACTGTCTCTTCGAGGGCCGCAATGTGGTCCCCATGATTCACCATGGTCAGAAATGATGGCAATGACAATGTGTTCTGTCGAGCCTAGGCTCTGATACCAACTGTTATGCAGCGCCTTCCTGAGATGTCTTGGAAGGGCGACGTAAGGCTAAGCAACCGATGTCCGTGCGATTACTATTCGCCAACTAGGGTCCCCTGCGTGCGCTAGATGAGACTGTTAGTGCCGTGCGGAAAAACCAATGTCAAGAGCAATTGAGAGAACATAAACCAGAATGAGAATGAAAGAAAGCTTGGTTGAATTAATGAAAGCTATTACAGAAAGATAACACGGTGTCGGGAGGGGGGGGGGGGGTAGGAGGGAGAAACCAATACAAAGAATTATTTTCTTACTTGAAAGTTTGACAGCTTGATCTCCCCTAATAATGCTTACAAAAATAAACCAAAGTTACAAGACTTGACATAAATAATCTAGAGACTAATAATGGAAATACAAGAAGTAAAGCTACTCTGTATTTACAACAAAAGGGACTTAGATTCCTACAAAGCAAAAGCAGGTACGTTGGAGGCAACCTTGTCTTAAGCATTAGGGACTGCACGCGCTGGTCGTAAGGTATGGGTCGATTGTGTTGAGAACAGTTTCGTACTGGGGCGCGGCTTGGCGATGGACACTATTGGCATCTGTCTGCGGCTGGGCGCTGGCGGGGGATATTTATGGGGCGACGTAGGCATAGGCACTCTTGTTACTTGGCACGACCAAGACCACAGGACCGTCCATGACGCTAGGTGTTGGGAAGCTTGCCAGGAATTCATGGGCGTGTCCAAGGGGTCATAGGGAATGGCTGGAAAGCCGCCCATGACATATTTGATTAAATATTAGAAAGGTTCTGCAGTTGCACCCCTGCTAGAAGCAAACTGAAGCTCAATGACACTAGCATGAAAAACTTATTCATGCGGTGTCCAATAAACTATATTAGTTTATCATGGTTAGTAATAAAAGGAGACAAAGTTACATTACTTAACTATGATTAAGTGATAATAGCTTAAATAATGGGTTGATCTAAGCACTGGATATGAAGATAAGTTATTTTTCCCACTATCAATACGAATATAGGGGCTACTGCTGCCAGAGGCGGACCCGTGTGTATGGGTGAGGGGTCACCGGGCCCCGTAAACTTTGGCCGAAATTCTGTGTATATACACGTATATACCTTGAAAATGATTAATTTAAAGAAGTTGGCACCCTGAACACTACAAGCCTTTAGGAGGCACTGGTTGAGCAGAATAATGTGCCCTCGTTGCATAAAAATTCTGCGTCTGCCTCTGACTGCTGCAAGCGCCTTGCAGTAATTTAAGATATGACAGCATTCACCGACTCACGCCTTGTCGGCGGTAATGCTACTAGTATTTCACAATATCTACCTAGTTTTTACGTAGGTTACAAGAATCAAGATAAGTTGCTCAATTTACAGCACTCGCAGTTTCTAACTTTTGTCTTGAAATGCAATCGATCTGGAGAAACAAGATAACTCAGTAAACACTCATCATTTAAAATGAATATCTAGACAGCTTTCCCTCTCCGAAGAACAGAAGAAGACTGTAACTAGACAAAATACAATGAATAATTGAAAAGCAAAGCAGAAACAATAAGGTGCACGCACGTTTGAGAATATTTAGCGACAAGAAGATGCCAGAGAAGATAAATTGGGCTTGGAAGATTGACTTTGAGTTCGGCTTCTCAGCCTTTGCCTACTCTTCTGACCACTGCCCCTGTGCGTCCTGGAAGATGCAGAATTGACTTTCCTGTTTGTTCTGCTACTAGTGCTTCGGCTGCTGTTACCAAGTGCTGCTTCTGCAACAGCTTGATCTCGTGCCTTTTGTGGATTTATAGCTTGTTTATTCAGGAAAACTAACTTCCGAAGAAGACTGCACACTGTCTTACGCAGTTGGTAATCACTAATGCACTGGATTGGATTGCCCAACAGATTTAGAGCAATCAGAGAGTTGTAGTTTGCCACAAGTTGGCGAAGAGCGTTAGTTGTAGTTATCTTGTTGAAACTCAGGTCAAGAACTGACAGCTTGAAAAGCCTATGCAGCCCCTCCACATAACTTATTTTGTTACCAGCAATGTAGAGCTCCTTGATGAGTATACAATTTGATAAACCTGATAGAATTTGAAGGCAAAATCATCAACTCAAGTATTTTGAAGCCAAGACAATTGAATTGGTTGAGGCCTAAATAAGTACAAATTTACCTCGTCCAATTCGAGAAATTCTATTGTAACTGAGGTCAAGCACCCGCAAACGAGTCAATTCCTTGAGACCTTCAATTGTGTGAATCTGGTTCCTTGATAAATTAAGAACATGAAGACCATTTGGCAATGATCCTGGAGTTACTTGAACTGCATCAATACATAAACATAAAACAATTTTCAGTGAGTGTCACATGTAACCATTTTCTTTAGTGTTGTCTTCAGTTTCGTAGAACTAAACATGATAACCCACCTATGGAGTTGCCTGATAAATTGACTGATCGAAGACTGGAGAAGTGTGACATTACAGGGTTAACTCTAAGTCCAACTCCTGCAATGTGAGCAACCGTTGAGGATGAATTGAGAGACTGGATCACGTTGTTGGCATGTATAACCTCTGCTGGCACATTTGTATTTGGACGCCTAATCATGAGCGATGAGTTTCTTGCAATTGATTTACCAGCATGGGCTGAAGGTGGGAAGTCACGGTCATCTTCAATGTGATCATCATCTTCATCAATTATGTGTGGTGGACTAACAGAAAGTTCTTTCACCCATTCATCAACTCTTGAGAATGTAGAAGATTCTGCAGGGCATGCAACCCACTGATTTTGTGGCCACATACCAGTTACTCTATGGATGTTATTGCTCCCCTTTTTCAACGATTTCCCAGTGAATGAAGCAGTTGATCCCAACTTGCTTAAGTCCATGCCTTGCCCTGGTTCTAGAGTGTCTGAAGAGTATCCACCTTGCTTGCTTAGAGTTATTTTACTAGGGATTGCCTGTGGTTTGCAATTGCTTGTTTCTTTTACGTTCCTATGGCTCCATAGAAAGAGTTTCCACCACAACTTTCGACTTCTGGATGGTAGGATTTGGCTTGAGGAATGTTTTCTCAGCATAACTTTGTCAGCACTACAATGTGAAGATACAGAAAGTGGACTTCCGATAGGCAACTTCTCAGCTAATCTCTGCATTTTTTCAAATGACTGGGATTTTGTTGGCTTCAGACTAATCTTTTTTAAGGTATCCCTCATTGCCAAATCCGAGCAGGAGCGCTTAAGTACTGTACAAGTCCAAGATTCTCGTTTACCAATCCCCGGATCACTAACGTTTCCAGTCTTAATGATTTCCAAGACATCTTCATCTTTCTTATTTTGGTGCTGATCATTTACATAATTGTCGAGCTTGTAACAAAGATTCATCTTTTTGTGAACTGATCGATCAGATTCCTCATTTATGCTTCCAAGATGGCCTTGAATATCAAAATCAAAACTATCCCTGTTCATTGAAAGGCTTTCATCGTGCTCATCTTCCCCTTCGTATTCGAACTCCTTAGCTTCTCTAAAGGAGGTTTCATGACTCAATTCCTTGACCTTATTCCCAGGAATAACAAAAGAAGTTGATTTCAACTCTTCAGTTTTGTCACTACACTCTATATGACCTTCAACTGGTGCATGAACCTTAGCAGTTTTTCGAAATCTCTCTTTTCTCTAAAAGCAACAAAACCGTGGAAATGAGAAAAAGTCAGCTTTTGCACAGACAGTAAAAGAAAAAGGGAACTGTAGTATTAAACATAATGATATACTTGCCTTATACTTCTTGTTTCTTCCTACAAGACCACCAAAGCAGCTACACTTTGCCATTTCTTTTGCTGTTCCTTTTCCTCTATTTCACGCTTTGAAACCATTCAATTTACATCTGGAAAACTGAGCTAACAAAAGAATGGATGTTTGATAAAAAAGAAAAAACAAGTTTCTACATAATGAAGGTGGAATATTAGCCGTAATCAATAGGCAGGCGCCAAAGCAATGCCCAATTCAAGAACAATGAAGACGCAGGAAAATAATAATATAATGCAATTCCAAGGCTTGTTCTTCTTCTCGCCACTGCCGTTGCCCATACCAAATGGGAAAAGGACTTCACTGAAGTATTATTGGCCAGAGTGTTAGATTCTGCTGCTTCTCTCCAGAATCTTCACCTAAACTTCCTCTGCTCATCCATGAAAATTGAAAAACAAATCCACCATGAGAACCCCAAAATAACCCAGAGAATTTCAGAACCTCATCAAATTTGTATTCGCAAAAAAATTTAAACCTCTGCCCTTCGGGTGAGCACTTTGCGCGCACTGGGTGAACCTCCCCCTGTGTAATAACCTGCAAACCACACAGGGGATGTAAAACCGCACTAGGCAAGCCCTGTGCGACAAGCTCAACCCAGAAGGCATTGAGGGGGATTCGATCCCAAGTCATCCGTATGGCCTCCAAACCAACTGGACAACCCCGAAGGGTTATTCTACTTAATATGTTATTACTACTTTATATTCTATTCTGCATAAACATAATGCATAGATTTGTTATGCATATATTATTTATATGAAGAAGTAAAATTGCAATCAAACAAAGTATTCAGTTATGTTGAATTTTATAAGGGAATTGATTCTCCTTATTCGAGCAACCAAACAGCTTCTGTTTAGATTACTTAAACTGTTCTGAACAGCAAGAAAACAAAAAATGGGTTTGTAAAACAAGACAAACCTAACACAGATAAAGAAAAGACAAAGATCCATAATATAAATGGTTCGACATAGAAATCTTTTAAAAGGAACCCAAAAAAAACACAAAAAAAAAGGTAGAGTATTGATAATTTCATTTTCCTAAATTACGAACAAAACCCGAAAAAGAAAAGAAAAATTCTGCCGGAGCCTTGGCGGGCAAAACTGTTGGATATATGCGGTGGAAATGTGGCAGATTACGGTGGAATTAGTCAAGGTGATGCCTTATACACCATTATTATAAAATAAAAGATATATAAATGATGGATATTTGTGATTTTATATATACCTCCTCAAGACAGAGTACGCCAGGTTGATGAGACTTTGGCCAAACCGTATAGAGAATGGTGTTTCTGCAGCAAAGTCTTTTCCAAAACCGGGAACCGAGAGGAGAATGGCATTGGTGGGGAATCTGGCAGGCGAGAAGAGAATTGGTAAAAGCTAAAAGGGGGTGGATGGTAGAAGAAACTAGAACTAGGAAAGGGGATTATATGGGAAAGAGAGATACGCGCAAAGTACACGATCTCACAAAACCATGACCAGCGGCTACAGAGTATGCATCATAGCCTATTATTATTGTTACGCCCAAATTGGAAAATACGTTGGTGTAGAACCATTCAACTGTAAATCGCGACTTCAAAGCTTATACCGGCTTGCATTATTATGTTTTAAGGAAAAAAAACTACACCATCCGCTCACATACGGATTAAAATGTTAATTTCGCTTATACAATAATTATCTATATCTATATCTGTAGGGGCAATGTCGTGTCTTACTATTTTCTTTTTCGACGTTGGATCCATTTACTAGCCAACGTTTTTGCTTTGCATTTTTCTTCTGCATTTTATGTTCCTATTTTTCCTATGATCTCCGTGATGAATCTAATATCCTGTCCTTTTGTCTTCTTTTTATTATCTTGACGCGAGGGTCTTTCGGAAACAGCCTCTCTACCCCTTCGGGGTAGGGGTAAGGTCTGCGTACACACTATCCTCCCCAGACCCCACTTGTGGGATTTTGCTGGGTTGTTGTTGTTGTTGTATATCTGTAGGGGTAAAATTGGTTTATAACAAATAGTCGAATGGTAACATGATACGTGGAACCGAAGATATGCAAAGGGCAAGTCAGGGAATAACCAATTCCGAATACAACGAATGTAATTGATATTGGATAAATGCCGAAGGGAGCGTAGCCGACGGGAGAAGATCAAGGGTTTGTCATCAGATATCATTCAATAATGGAATATTTACTAAATTTAAATGAGCGACCGTTGCAGAAAATATTTGCATCATGGTCTGCCATTACGCGTTCATCAATGACTCTTTTATTATCATGTAAGAGGAGCTTTATCCTACGATCTTGTTTCCCTAGGTAAATCTATAAATAGTAGGCTCGACAACCATTGTAAAGACACGAAATTTTCTGCACAAAGACTTTATTTTATTACTTTTGCTCTCAATTAAACAGGTTTATTTGCACCTTATCGTTACTTTCACTTTTTTCCTCGGAGGCATTACATTCGGAGCCAGGCTTGTCATCTTCTTCAATTTCAATTGCTAATCATAATTTTAACCTAATCTCTTTATCGTTTTTGGATCAAATCAGTTCGCTTGTCTATAAACCACGTAACAAATTAACTATATCGTTTTACAGGTAAACAATTTGGCGCCCACCGTGGGGCTTAGACAATTGCATAATTGCTTTGATCTTAACATGTATTGCTAACTTGTTTTGATAACTTGTTTCGATTCTTTCCTTAGTGAAAAAATATATGACAGCTAATGATGTCAACATCACACACAACGTTGAGGGACACGAAGAATTGTCCCAACATGATGACTTAATCAGCGAGACTCGCAACTAGGGGGATGAGATGACTCTGGTTCAAGATGGCCAGTATCCTCAGTGCATGCAGGAACCAATTCCCGATGATGCGGAGTAGGAACATGTAGTGGAAACTTAAAACCTTGAGAGAAAAGCAGAAAGCAATCATGAAACTCCTCTTAAGGCATGATCGAGTGATGACGGAGTTTAAAACAAGCTTTGTTAAGCGCCTCCAATAACATGGATGAAAGGGGCCCGGTTCCTCCCAGTGTTCCTGCAAACCAAACGGCTCAGAGGGTCGATTACAATACTCCAAGGGATGAAGTCGTTTTCGGCGAAGCCGGAGGGACCGGCAACGGATCTAGAAATAACAACGGAATGATCCCTTCAAAACTGAGCTCATGAGGTTTATGAGGGAAATGAACGAGCGAATGGATCAAAGTGTGAAGGAGTTTCACGCTATGATGGATCAAATTCCGAGCGCGCCACCAATACGAAAAGGCCCATATTTGAAAAAATACACGCAATTGCCTTTTTAACCGAGCGTAGCACTAGAGTTAATTCCAAAAAGGTTTAAGATGCTGGACATATCAAAATACGATGGGACTTCGGATCCATATGAGGACATCACAACCTACACCATGGCTATGAAAGGGAACGATTTGGCTAAACATGAGATCATGTCGGTCTTATTGAAGAAGTTTGGTGAAACCCTCGCATAGGGGTACCTGACATGGTATTCTCTCTTACCCGAGCATTCAATCGACTCTTTTGAGATACTTGCAGACTTGTTCATTAAGGCTCACGCTGGAGCAAGGAAGGTTCAAGCCAAAAATATGGACATATTCAGGATTGCGCATGGCGAGTTTGAAATGCTACGGAAATTTGTGATCCGGTTCAAGAAAAAGAGGATGTTATTTACCGACGGTACTAGATACGTGGGCAGCGGAGGTGTTCACAAAATGTCTAAATCAGCGGAGCTTCGACGCCTCCTGAAAGTTAAAGGACAACTTACTCAAGTTTCAATCAACCACATAGGCAGATGTCCATAACCGTTATGAGTCAAAAATAAGGATAGAAGACGATCAGCTCGGGTTCCGGTATCAACTAAGGACGAGATCGAGATAAAAACCAGGACAAGTTTAAAAGTGACTTTGATGTGGGTCGGCGGTCCTCTAGGGGTCGATTTCTATCGTATGAAAGAATCGAAGGTCGTAGTAGCAAAGGTTTTTGGTCATTGGAGAAGTTTACTCCTGATAGAAGAACAGATCGTGGTCGGAGCATATAACGACCCGACCGGTCATTTTGAGCATTTGCATTTCATTCAGCTGTTTGAAATCTTGAGTAGCTTCATATGATGTATTATGACTTGTGTGTATCATCGGTTTTGGTACTTGGGTGATTCGAAATTAGTTTGGGAATGGATTTCATGTTTAAAGCTTTAAGTTAGAAGAGTTGACCAAGTTTGTCTTTTGTGAACTTGACCCCAAAATGGAGTTTTGATGGTTCTGTAAGGTCTCGATAGCGATTTTAGACTTGGACATATGCCCGGATTTGCATTCGGGTATTTCTAGAAGGTTTCGGTACTTTTTGGCGAAAGTTGGCAATTTGAAGCTTTGGAAAGTTCATAGGTTTGACCGAGAGTTGCCTTTGATGACATCGAGTTCCGATTTTGGTTCCAGAAATTGGAAATGCTTTGTCATTTTGGACTTGTGTGCAAAATTTGGGTTAATTTCCAAGTGGATTTGATATGGTTCGGCTCGAGTTTTGGAAGTTGAAAGTTCAAAGTTCATTAAGTTGATCTTGATTCCGATTCGTGATTTTGATGTTAATATGTGTGATTTGAGGCCTCTAGTAGGTCCGTAATATATTTTGAGACTTGTTGGTATGTTCGGACGGGGTCCCGAGGGGTTCGGGTGAGTTTCAGGGTGGTTTCAGACCATAGGCCATTTTTAGTTGCTGGTTTTTGGCTACAGGGGTGAGACTCGCGATGTCAGACTTTAGGTCACGTTCGCGAAGAGCAAATTGCTATTTTGGGCACTGTGAATCGTGATCGCAGAAGACTTTTCGCGATCACGTAGAAGCAAATTCTACTATCACTGACCCGGTCTTGGAAGCTTATATCTTGCAATCTATAAGGATTTGGAGATGACCTAAAAATAAAAGTTGTAGCCTTTTGTGTCTAGTTTCCAATAAATTAAACCGTTTGGCATTTGGAGTTTTGTACAAAACGTTAATGCTGATATATTATAGGCTATCCGAGAAGAGTTTGGGAAGGGTAATGGAAATTTGTTCATCGCGATCGCGGGAAGATGGCCACGATCGCGAAGGGTAAAATGTGTGCTGGAGAATTTTTGAATGCCGATCACGAGGTTGGTGACCGCGATCACGTAGGGTACCTCTGGAATAGTGTATAAAGTACTTTGTTTTGAAGGTCTTGGTCATTTTATCATATTTTGAGCTATGGAGCTCGGATTTGGACGATTTTCACCACATGGATTGGGGTAAATATTTTATACTCGGTATTGATTTTATTCCGTGATTCCATCTTCGCTTTTGGCATTTGGATTATGAAGTTTAAAGAGAGACTAGGGGTTTTTGTCTAAACTTTCCTAAAGTGAATTTTGAGGTTTGAACATCGATTCAGAGTTGAATTTGAGTGAAATTAGTATTGTTGGACTCGTAATTGAATGGGTTTGTCGGATTTTGTGAGTTTTTCGGATTTCAAGATGCGGTCCCGATTTGAATTTTTGGTTGACTTTGCGTAAGTGTGTAAAGATTCGACCTTTATCATTTGGGATTATTTTCTTAGGCATCATTTGATGTGTTTGAGTTGCTTTTGATCAGCTTCGAGCCGTTCGAAGGTTGTTACGCGCGGGATGGAATTTCTACAGTATTATTTGGCTTGCTCGGTATTAGATTTGGCTCATTCGAGGTAAATAACATATCTATACTTGAATTTGAGGATATTAACCTCGGGACTATGTTATACGAGATGCATTGAGGTGACGCACATGTTAGGTAACGAGCGTGTGGGCGTGCTTATTTGGTTGAGAAATCATGTTTAGCCTATATGCTTATTTGGTTGAGACCTAATGAGGCTATTTCTGTTGTTTTGAGTTGTCTGCTCTAAATTTATTTATATACTCAGTCATGATTCTTCATTTGTATATCATATCTCAGTCTCTGTTCATCATTCATTGTTACAGCCAATGATATCATTATTTGGGCTGAGTGGTACGAAATTGTGAGCCCTTGAGACTTGAGAGATTGATGACTGAGGTGGACTTGAAAGTCGTGTTTTGAGTGTTATTTATGGGATCGGACTGATTTCCACGGATGAGGTGCAAGATGCATTTTTGTGTATTGGAGTTGGGCAAGTCTGGAAGACTCGAGGCCGGGTTTTGACCGCAGCTTGGGCTCGGTGGTTTTAGTTGTGTGAGTATATGCTTTGGACTCATATGTCCGGTTGTGTCCGTTGGAGCGGGATTGATGGCTTAGTGAGTGGTTGGATGGCTATGATGATTGTGTTGTGACTGCGGGATGTGTTTAGATGGCTTGATATGTCGAGAAAGGTTGCTTGGGATGTGGGAAGGACTATCAGAAGCTTGAATTCTATCTCAATGTGTTGTATAGTCTCGAGTTATGATCGTGTTGAGGGATCTTTCATGTTGTTTATTTGTGAAACTAAGTAGATTCTCATGCCTTGTTGATGAGTTCAGATTCAGGAAGATTAAGTGATTGCGTAGTAATTGTGGTTGTGAAAGGGTATAG